CGCCGACATGCTCTTCTTGTCTCGCTCGCCAGCCCAGCTGGTGTCAGATATGGCTTCGAGAAGGTGCCCTTCTCCAAAAGGTTGTCCTTGCTTTCGCGAACTTTATAGAATCCAAACCTCTGCACTTCTGCTGCAAAGCTCGTCCTGGCCTACATGGAGTCAGCTTAATGCCTTGGTTGGGGCGCGCTTTCAGAAGCTTCACAAGGTGTTTCAGCAGTGACCAATCGGACTCAGTCGGACATGTGCAACAACCACTCAGCTGTTTGATCGTGCACAAGCTCTCCGGACGGTCTTGACCCAAGTACAGAAGAATGCCTATGCACGTCGGTCCTATACACTGCACGACGTTTCTAGAGGACTGCTGTCAACCTTGATGTGGTTCACGTTCATCGGACACGGAGTGGCTTTCGCGGTGGCCTTCTGTAGGCCAAGAAGTTTAACAAGCTTGTCTATGTGCTTCAAGTCTTGGCTCACCACAATTCCATCTCCTGCGCCAACGAACTTCCTTTTGAGGAAATGACACTCCCCCCCTTCAACTGCGCAAGGACCTTCTAGCGAAAACTTCAAGCCGCTCTCTGTCAGCTTCTTCTTCAAGCGATCAACGCGAAAGGCTTCAGCGATCGCTTCGAAATCATCCGCATGTGTGCCCACTCCAATACACTTGGGTTCGATGAATAAAGCCGGAGCAGCCTCGTAACTTTCCAAGTTGTCAGACTTAAGAATCCCGGCTAACTTGTCGTGGAAGTCTCTGGCTCCAGCTCGCTGGCCTGGCAAGTTGAACTTGAGCTCAAAGATCAAGCCTCCGCGACGAATGAATGTAGGCCTTCTCCGAGGAACAGTCAAGTAGGCATCTTTGATGTCACCAGTGTACAAGCAAAGCCGTGAGCTTGAACATACTAGTCCAGCGAAAACCTTTTGGAGGCAAGCCAAAGATCCAGGTGAATACAAATTTTCCATGAGAGGGTCGATGAATTTGAATTCTTTGGCCACAAGACGTGATCTCCTAACCCAACTCCAAGATTTGCTATCCTCACTTGGACGAAGCCGCCAATCTCGCACATACTTGGGACTGCAAGTTAGTCATGCCCTCAAGGTTCTCATCAATGGCATATGGGCCTAAGAACATCCATCTTGACCAAGCCTTTCAGCTCTACTCAGTCCAGGCTTCGTCTAGCTTCCTTAGCTGATCTGGATGAAGAACAGGAGGCCCTTCTTCATACTTACGATTCGCCCAACTCTTCACGAACGGCAAGTCAGGCTGGGGGTCTGGAGCCACGTACTCTTCATCACCTTCACTAACAGCCCAATCAACGTTGAAACCTGGGGCCAAAGGATCTTCATCGGCTTCCACATAGCCTTCGTTGTCGTCATGACCCGTGAGCATTTCTTCCTCTAGGAAAATCGCACTCACATGGCCACTTGCGGGGTGACCCTCAACATCCATGAGGAGTTCTTCAGAATGATAGCTACCATCCATGCTGTCTCCAGGCAAACTTACGCTCATGGTGTCGCTTGAGTCGCTTCCTACTCCCCCTTCAACTGGTGGTCCTTCATTCAAAGTTGGACCAACTGCTTCTGGACTTGGTGGATCTGAAGCAGCTTCATCAGCAGGCGAAGGAGGGGCTTCAACATTCTCAGGGAGAACAGGAGGTCTAGAACCAGTCAAAGCTTTCCTCTTACGAGAAGGAAGAACATCAAGAAGAGGATCCCATGGAACTCCTTTCATGGTCTTCAAGGCTTCTGTTAAGAAATTACCAGGCGCAAGTCGGACACTTCGCGCATGATGGATTCCTTCTCTCTCGCCCACGATGTTCAAGTCGCCTAGGGTTGTTCGGCCTAGCCATACGCAAGGCTTCCAGCACTCACCACGAACCTTTGACTTCGGAAGATACTGCGCATATACATGGGCCCCGAAGGGAAGTAGCTTTGACTTGTAGCTACGTCCATGGACCAACTCGAACGATGCGCAACCATCCTTCAGCACTGAGAACCGAGAAACTAGGAAAGCCGCATGTCGGTAGGCCCAATCGAAAAGGGGGTCTTCACTCTCAATCTTGTGTCCCGTGTGTTGGAGGATTGTCTGCAGCAAGCAATTGCCAAGGGTATGTACTGTATGAATATACCTTTCACTGCGATTTGCACGATGCGTCGCATCCCCCGGTGGAATTGGCTTTTCCTCTGTGGCTAAACCCATTTTCAACCTAGCAGCCACTACGGCTCCAGCAACCTGCTTCATTGCTGGCTCGGTATCATACCTGAGGCCAATTCGCTGGTAACCAAGGGAATTCATCAAGCCAACCACATCTGCAACACAGTACTTCAAGCTTCTATTGCCTTTTCCATCAATGGCCGTGGCCTGCACAAACTTGGTCTGGGAGTCTACCAAGATCAAATGAGTAGCAAGAGGATTGTCTTGTGTAGCAGTAAACATATAGCCCATGCTCACCACAGGAAACTCTCTGTGAGGTTCTGTGTCATCATAAGTGTCCTCTCTAGAACGGGAGGCGACGCAGGCCTCACGGGAGCTTTTGGGATATGCGTAGTCTCGTGGATCAAGACCAACTCCTCAGATGGTCGCTCAGGAAGTGCATCCACGAGCACACAGTCGCCTTTGACCCGTTCTTGGAGATGCCCAGGAAACGGCACGCTAAACGAAGTTCTCTCAACGCGCTCTCCTGAGTCAATCTCACATCGTTGACCATGATCACCTCATTGCTCGGGACCATCAACTTCCATAGCAGAGGGACCTAGCATGGGACCTTCTGCTCTCTCTCCTTGCCTCTCAACCGCTATCTCTCCTTCTTCTTCTTCAGCACCATCATCACCACGATCACGTAGAGGATTAACTCCGGGAACCCACGCACGATCATCAGGTCTTACCTCTCCTAGCTGGGAAGGCTCGAAGACGAAGAATCGGTAGAAGCTTGCGATTGGCTCCCAATATTCTCCACACTCAAAGACTTCATACTCTCGACCTCTCTTCCAAATGAGCGTAGAGCGATGGGGCCACTCATCAGGATTGAAGCGTGCTGAAGGATCAACAGTCGTGGACATGTTGTATGCCAAGTGAACTGGTAACATGGAAGTACTCAAGCTCCATCCAGAAGCTCAATCCAGGCGATTAACCTGCTCTGCCATCTCTTCATGGATCACCGCAACCATACGGACAGCTTCTCACGCCAAGAAACTTTCAGCTCGGGTTCCGCCTTCAGCGGAGGCATCACCTAGCCGCTGCTTACTCTCAGCGGAGGCAGCGCCTAGCTGCTGATCAGCAGCGGAGGTTTCACCTAGCCGCTGATCAGCATCTTCGCCATCTCCTTGTGCTACGATTTCCTCCAGGCGCGAAATTCTCATATACGTAGCTAAGCTGTTCCTGCTCCAGTGGACTGGAAACCAAGCTTCGCCCTTTTGCATGTACCATGAGTCATATTCATCACAGACAGGAACCCAGCCACGCCTCATGAGCTTGCCCAAGCAGAACAAAGTTTGTTGAACATTTCCCAGAGCGACAGAATCCTTAAAGGAAATCGCACTGTCTTCATCTGGGGTGTCGATTTCGAAGTTCACGAACACTCTTGACTCTCCGCCTTCGATCTTATTCCCCTGAGCGTCAAGGAGAATACTCTTGCTAGCAGAGGAGTCTTTGTGACCGACAGCTTGATAAGAAAGGGGAAGGACCGTACAATCAGCTCCACTGTCCAAGATCACTTCCACTCTTTCCGGTCCGCTGGGGACCTCTTCGATCACCGCCCGGCAGTACAGCCGAGGAGTGTGCACTTCGTCGCAACTGCAATCACTTTCAAAATCACTTGCTTCTTCAATGCTCTCCATGTCGTACCACAAACTGCTGGCGCTACGCAGCTCATCCAAACTGCATTCGCTACAACCATCTTCTGCGCAGGCTCCTTCGCTAACATGTCCATCAGGATCATCCATCTTCGTACCAGCAGTCATCTGCCTCTTCTGTCAGATCGTACTCGTAGATTCGGCGAACGCAAGGTTCGGGTAGTGGACGCAGGAACACTTGATTGATCACCATCTTGTACCTGTTGAACTCTACGAGGCTGACGGCATTCTGAAGCCATATGACCCAACTTACACACGCTCTGTACTCCAGCTCGAAGAAGTACGCTCAAAGGCAAGCATGGTCTCTCTCAACTTCTCATACGTAGTGGATTCGGAAACTTGTAATGGAGATATCGACGAATGTCTTCGGGGAGTCCAGCCAATAGAGTAGAAATCTTGAGATCATCACTGTACTTCTGGTTACTAACCCTCTCGTACTCAGCAATCAACCTTTCAAAGGTTAGAGTCCATTCGAGAGGAGATGTACCATCTTTGTACGGAGGATATTTGATCAACGCTTGGGCTAAGGCTAGGGATCTAGGTCGCGATGCAGGCTGAAGTTCATCGTGTAGGCGACGCCAGACTCTAAAGCCACATCCAGAAGCCTCAGACTTCAGGAGCTTAAGGCTTCGTCCTTGCAGGTGCGTTGCCAGAATAGCGTACAATCTCGCACTACGGCTCTTCATTGGAGGAGTGTAGTCTGACACAGCCGGCCATGTCTCTGCAGTCTCACATTTTTCGAAGTCATCGCGATACGAGGAGTCCTGCGCAACCATGAACGCCTTAAACTGAAAAGACCAGCCGGGCCATCCTGACATCTCTTCCTCTAGATTCTTTGCCAAGAAGATTTCAGGAGACTTGATAAACTTTGACACGCCATGAAGAAGTAGAACTGGATCCCGTAGCTGTAGCAAGGCGCACTAGCCAGATTCTGAAGAACAAGTTGGGCATCTAAGACTGCAGGGGCGACGCGGCGACACCACCCGCCGTTGGACTTCCAGTTGGGCTCTGTCCAGGCCGCCACTAGCAAACCTTACGTACAGCACCGTGAGCTTGCAACAGCGCTGGCAGCACAGTGTGGACGAGGGCTATGCTGCAATAGCAGTCTGGGAACAACTACTCGGGGCAGCAATCTACCTACCTAGACAGAACTAGGAGGGTGCGGGTCCTGCCCTCAGCACGAGGTCTGGGTCCAGCCTCTTCAGGAGCTCCGGTATCCAAAGGATGAACCTTCACAGCTCCGCTACCGTAAAAACTCAAACCCAAAACAAAGTCAGGTTTTTCTTTTGCAACTCACTTTGAGCCTTGATGTAGCGTCATGGTCTCAGCTTGCTGGAAAATGAAAAAAGTCGGGGACAACAATCCACCTGACATATGGCCTACACATGCCATAAGTGGGTTCTCTCAAATGTTGTTAAACTCGCAAGTCAGGGCAGGAAGAAGTTTCAATAAGCACGACGGAAAAGCCAAACAAATCCGTCACGTTTCGGCCTGAAGTTGCCTCTCTTAATACTTTGGATGATGATATTTGTCGAGTGCTTTTTGGGAATAGCTGGATACTAATATGAACACACAGTTGCTGGCAGGAGAAGCTCACTGCAGCACCACAAACAGGCCCTGTAGCAAGGGTTTCTGTGTTGGAGCTCGGTTTTCACACCTGAAAGTGGTTGTAGCGAACGCACCTGCGCAATCCTGTGGCCTGACCAATCGCGCACGTCCTGGGGAACGGACGGTGCCTAAGCGCCCACCAAGGAAGCGCAGTCGTAGTCCTGCCCTGGGCCTCATCGGGAATTTGTGCCTCGACCTCTTGGGTTCACAACGTTCCATCTCCGTGAGGGTATGGATTCTGATAGTCATCCTGGCGAAGGACCTTCTAGCGGTGATAGTTCAGATACGTTCGCATTTCCAGGCAAAGCTAGGATATCCAGGCCTCCGTTAGGTCCCCAAGCACTTCGCCTTCTGAAAGGGCTCGCAGGTCAGGAGCTTGGTCGTCGTGGCCTCCTGCAAACACACCTGTTGTAGGCTCATCAGAGATCCTTCATTCTTCCGCCGCAAGATCGGGGGAGTGGGGGCCACAATCGGGTAGTAATGAAAATTTGAATTCTGCCTCGAGTTCCAGCGCTGGCCCGACCTCAGGCGGTTGAGCCAGCCCCCAGCACGTTGTTGACCAAAAATTCCTCTTGGCCACGCGTACGGGATTTAACTAGGTACTTAGGGCTGGGTTTAAACTCAGCTTGCGGTTCCGGTGAGCCTCAAGAGACAGCTCAAGGCTCACAGATATTGAGAGAAGGAGGCGTCTTAAGGACGCTGCTGCAATCGCCGAGGGAGTCGAGCAGGACCTAAGCAACGCCTTAATTGAACAAGCAGTGGCCGAAGTTGCCAGTAATAAGTCAGCCAATTTGGAAGGTGATAGGCATAACTCTAGTCGTCCTGGCGGGACCGACTGCACGAGTTGGGAGTGTGTTCCCGGCACTGATGATAGCGCTGGGGAACTGCCTTCAGCCGAATATCAGGGCCAATAATCGTCTCAAGTGCTTTTGCTAACATCTCAGGCAGTATGATAGCATACCTGCTAACGAGGGCAGTGATGCGGGTCAGACTGCATGACTCAGGTGCCACAGTGGCGTCCTGGCGTCCCAGCAACAACAGATTTCAGCCATTTCGGCTGCGCTGCATTTTGCAATTGTCGTAGCGAAGCTGCCGCCAGCGTGCAAGCGGGTCGTGCCAAGTGCAAGTAGCTTATTGTTCAATCACAGACACACACACACACACCGAGACAGACTGACTGACCCGTTGCCGTCGCGCCTGGCGTTTTGCATTGGGCATTGGCTGCCAAACATGACTGACTCAATTTGTCATGTGATGTGCCAGTATGCCGACGCCGCCAGCCAGAGATTGCGCAACCAAGTAAAAAAAACATGATGTGTGCGATAGCTTTACTCACATGCATTTGGATCAGCTTGCGTCACTGCTTGAGTCTTGAGTGAGTAATTGACACACGTGACACACATACTGATTTCACGAATGAGGCCAGACAAGGGAGTGGCTTCGTGTCCTGCGGTCGGGTACTGAGCACTGAGCATGCAGATCGAGGCAGTCTGAGTCAGTTACTTGAGTTGCTACTGACAAGTGGTTGATTGCTTGGAGTCTCCGCTGCAGCTGCTTGTTCTAGCTTGTTGCTAGCTATCCCGTAATTGCTCTGCTCTGCGCCTCTGCTGGTTCTGCCGTCCACACCGCATCATGGATGAGTTCGATGAGACGAATCAGTTGGCATTGGTTCCATGGAAGCCAGATCCGCAAACCGCGACTTCGACCCCGATCCTGCAATTGCCGGACACACCCTCAGCAGTGCCATCGCCAGGCAGCGTGCCATGCACTCCGCCACCGCTTTCAAGACAGAGCTCCTGCCATTCGGTGGGCAAGAAGACAACTTGCGAGCCTCTGCCCGCGCCAGCCTCACTGAGGGCCGGATTGGGATCATTGGGCCGTGGCGGGAAGACATGTGAAGTTGATCAATGCGATCGTCCGGCAGTCCTGATGGCGGGTGGGTGCATGCCCCAATTGGAACTTCTAACTTTGCATATTTGCAGTTTGCAACATGTAACATGTCCATGTGATGTCAGTTGTTCGCGCTGCCGTTGCTCGCTCGCAAGGCTTACCCGGCTGTGCGTCATCCACACGGCCAGCCGCAAAGCGCTTTTCACACAAGCAAAGGCTGCAGGTGGATGTTTGCGTGATGACGACGAAGATGATCCTGAATCAACCTTGGCCGACATGGAGCGGCGAAACCACGAAAAGTTCATGCATCACCTCAATGTGTTCTGCGTGGAGAAGCCTGCCTGCGTGCATGGTTGTCAGTTGTCATGATGAGTGTGAGTGTCCCTCGCAAAGGAGGAGCCCAGCGTATCTAAGTGATCTAAGGTGCGCGAGTGAAGGACAAGGCAAGAAGAGGCAGCTGTTCGACTTTGGCACGCTGTATAGGAGATCGTCTCAAGGTTTTCG